TAACCCTTTATCTAACTCATGCCCTGCCTTATTTTCAAAGCTAGATCCTGAGAAACAGACAATAAACCTTTACCAAACTAAGAGATAAAATAGTTTATCACAGCAAGAGTATATATTTGTAATATGAAACTTCATTCTCACCATTTATGTATGGGTCATTGATACCAGGATTGTTCAAAACTATGACTAAATCTGGAAAAAAATATATGTATATATATAATTTTTATTTATTTATTTTTAAATTTATTTATTTATTAAAGATTTCTGTCTCTTAAGGACACTTTTTGACTTTCTTTTATTTTTCCTTTCCTTTTACTTTTATTAGGAGGATTTCATGTATTCCAGGATGGTCCCAGTCTCACTCTCTATGCCAGGGTGACCCCGAGTGACATGAAATCTCAGATCCTTCTACTCCACCTCCAAAGTGCGAGGGTAACTGATTGAAACACATCACTCCACCTGCTTTATGTGGTTCTGAGAATGGAAGGCAGAGCACTGAGTCAGCTAGGAAAGCATCCTACCAACTGAACTACATCCCTACTTCCAAATTCATTGAGTTTCTAAGTGTGGATAATGATAATGATTATCTTGGACACAATTAAAAGTTCTTTTGGTTTTTGTATACACATCAATAATAAGAGGAGTAAGAGTGAATAGCAAAATAACTGAACAAGAGTCCTTTGAATAACCTGCAAACACAAAGTAATGACTTATTGTTTCAGCCATCTATGGTGATGCTTAAAAATGCTAAAATCACTTTTACTATTTTGTGATTCCTTTTCAAAACGTGTTAGTCTTAAACGTGATTGCTTGAAAATTACTCTAAGAAAATGAGGCTTCATTTTGGGTGATGTGGAATAGAGTAGGGACTTGTTTCTCGCTCATTGGATGCAATTATAAACGGTGCGCCGAGTGGATAAATTAAGGGAGTGTAGACAAAAAACATATTCTAAAACTCATCAAAGCTCTAATGAGCTTTCCTTTTGTGCCTTTTGGTAAATCTTTCTTGGACTTGACATGGCCAGAAATATGGACGTGAATGCTGCTGTAGAAGTCTAAGAGAAGCCTGGATTGAGACATATGAAGTGAGAATCCCAGCCTCTCAGATTTTATACTGTACTAAGCTTAAGCTATAGTTATGGCAACCCACAGGAGACAATCTAAATGAAAGCAGCTTTTCTCTGTGTTCCCAGAAACTGTATCTTTAATGTGGTAGGACAATTCCTGTGGCTTGTTTTCTGTGTTTGTCATCTGGCCCCATCTCTGAGGATGTAGGCTTAATCTTCTGTAGAGGAGGCTACAGCAAATTTGAGAAGTTTAAAGTTAATATTGTAAATAGTTTTGTGCCACCACACGTTATTCTGGTATTCTGATAATACATGTATTAGACCTCCTGGTACTGCTCTTCTGGTCAATTCCAGATGCTAACTGCTATGTGAAATGAACAGAATTTATTCTTGCATTTTCAACTTTCTGACCCTTCCTTCAACCCCAGTCATTTTGCTATTAATCCTAATGTTATACTGAACCACATTATTTTAGTAATTTCCTTATACTTCTTTCTATCTTCTGTTGCTACGTTTCCCTTCCTTCCAAGCACATTTCTATCATCTTTGTTTTCATGTAGAAGGTTTGTAATTAAAATTTATGACAAATAATTCCAAAAGCCACATTATTGAAGTGGCAGAATTTGGTCCTTTTTTTTATCCTATTGAAAATTAATACATCCAAAGGTCTATGGAAGCAGAATTACTTGTGCTCACATGCAAGTATTTTTGACTGTTCCATTTGGTCTCCAAGTGTTCTAAAATCCTATAAAGAATGTTATTTGTGCTTTGGTGATAACTGGCTGAACTCTTTCAGCTCACATATTTCCATCACACTTCTGTGCTTAAGTTGACTCTCAAACACTTTGTAGTTTGGTCCTAATCTGTTTCACAAGAGCCATATGCACCCATGTGGGACTTGGGTTATGTGTACTCTGTCCCATATTTCAGTTTTCAGAGTCTAGACTTGCCTTCTAGGTTGAGGGTGTCAGCAAGGCGGGGGGTATGTATGCACAGCTCATATGCAACTAAACAAATTGTTCTTCCATCTCCTGCATCTTCATCTTTTCAATGTTTGCCCCTTCCATCAATCTCTCCCACTTCCTCCTCTTCTTCCTTCTTTTTTAGTTTTAACAATTTTTTTTCCTTTAGCCTTTTGGTCAGAATTCTGAAACTTAATATTTTCTGTTCTACTGCAGATTTTCCTTGACCATACTCACACAACAAAAAAGTACAGTGAGGGAAGGAGGAAAAATAAGTGATACCACAGTCCTAGAATTGGTAGAATGTGGAGACATCAGAGTACAGAAGAAAGATGTGGCCAAGGGACCTGTAGACTTTGAACATTCAGAAACCCACTCAGCATTTTTTTTGAGCCAGAATTAGGCTATTTCTCAACTCCTCTGTGTATCAGTGATCCTTTCTGAGACATTCTGGAATTCTAGAAATGTAATTCCACTGGAAAGAGTGGTGAATTTGTCTTCAATTGGTGAGTTTTTGTATCCTGGTCTTTGTCTTTCAATCTTGCCTTCTTCCTGGAATCAAATCACTTTTCCATGTGTGTTTTGATTTATGGCTACTTTCACAGAAAGGTGAATAGGCTTTATCCCTATTAGACAGAGCGTTCTCACATCACCCCACCACTGGTACTCTCTGTTTCTCTGTCTTTATCTCTATCCCCCCCCCCCATGTTTCTGTCTACCTTTCCTTACTTCAGCTATAAATCTGTCTATATATCATAGGTCACTACTTTATTTTGGCAGTCCTGTTGACTGTGAAAGCTCCTTTCAAGGTTCCTTTGTATAAGCTATGAGAGATATGATGAGTTGCTTTGGAAAATGAAGCAAATCAAATACAATGTCTAGTTAATAATTTTTCTAATCTTGCTACAAAGACTTACACCATATTGAGGTTATAATTAAAGCAAATTTTCATTTTAAGATACATGATCAATAACCTATTCACTCCTTCCTGTAGCCCCACTGATAGCATCTATATTGAGTGTCCATCATTTCAGGTACATCTAGAGATAGTTTCTAAAGAGAGCATCATTCTAGATAAATGTAAAGATGCTATTTTATTAAGGTGATCTTATTGATGATTATGAAGTTCTCTTTTGAGTCCCAATCAGCATTCTTGTATTTCCTATTTATTTTCTTTCCATCACTTTACATCTCATAGAAGGATTTATGAAATGGATTTAATGTTTTTCTTCCAAACAGGAAATTCCTCACAGAAACATTTCTGATTTCTCTGAAAGCAGCTTCTGTCATGGTTGATGGCCAAGTTTTACTGGGATGTCTGCCGGCCAGTAGTGGAATTAATTTGAGGTTCCCCTGATAAAAATACTCATCATCAGATCATGGCTTTGTGCTGTTAGGGATGGTCCATAGCTGGGCTCTTTGTGGGATTTCTAGGTACTCTTTCAACCAGCTGTTTTCTGTTCCTGAGAGTGAATCCCAATAAACAGCACACTCTTGCAATTTATGAAGTACTTGCAGTGTTTTAAGAAATGGGTAAGGGAACAGGACTGGTTGTTTCTGTGGTCTCTGCTGGCTAATGCAATGTAGAGTGGGCAAAGGAACAAGAGCCAGGTTGGCGAGAGTCTAAAATACTCATGTTTTCAAGTGAGAGGCATCAATACCATCTTTTAAGACAGGAAGGGAGCAGAATGAGTTGGACTCCAGGGAATGTTAAGCCTGTGTTAATATTTCTGTTGTTGCATTCCTACTGGGCTCCTGTGTTAAGGCCAGAGGGGCATCTGCTCCACTAAGCAAAGCTGGGAACGCATCAACTCACAATCTTCCCATGTGAACTGATCAAAATGTCTTTAACTAGTTTGATGTTCAACCACAAAGAAATGGTGCCAGCTCCTGAGATAAAGACATATAACTTGTTATTCCATTTGATTCAACCGGGACTTAAAATAACTAAGGTGAGTTTCCACATTTAAACAGACCGCTTATGGTGTTCTGGAGGCGGGCCCAGGCATCAACTTTGTTATAACTCTTCTCTTTCGGTGATTTGAATATGCACAGAGGACAGGAAAGCAATCTTGTAATTAATATAGACCTCTAGTGCTATTTCCCAATAATTGATGGCAAAAATCACTTAAAAAGAACAAAAATTGAGAAAGAATGTCAACTCTAGCTACATATATACATGAACCGACACATAGAAGAAAACCAACCGAAACTAGTAACTGTTTAATAATAGCTCTAACTTCATCTAATGCTTTTTGTCAAAACCCACGTTTTTCAGTTGCAATTTCTAGTGAGAAGAAAGACATGTTTTACTAGCTTTGGGGAAATACCTTTAATTTTTATTGAATTTATTTGAGTGTGTGTGCAAGTGAATATGTTCGGAGGTCGTAGACAAGTTAGTGAGTCTGGGTTTCTCATCCTACCACGTGAGCCAGAGAGATGGCACTCAGCTCTTCCGATTTTGTGTTTAGAGCCTTTACCTGCTGAGCATGCTGCAAGCCTACAGATCTCTTTATGCCAAAGGATAAATAAGAAGAGAAAACCTAGACAGACAAAGCCTACCCTTTATTTTAAAAATGGTAAACTATTCAAATTAAAATGAAAACAGTTTTTACTTCCCCAAAGTGATTTTGCTTCACTAACCTGTTAACATTAGGGTTCTCCCCCTCCATTATTCAGGCCAAGAGAGAGAAGAAATATAAAAGCAGTGTATTTTTTTTCAGATAAAAACTAAATTGCAGCCTAGAGCATTGAAAAATGAAAAAATGAGCAATTACATTCACTATCCCCAGAGCATGTAATAATTGGGATTGTAGACCCAGTGTCCTTTTCTTGAAATATAGCTAATATGTTTTTCATATTTTCACATTTTGTATATTTATACTTTATGGTTGTTCACTTTTGTGGAAACAAAACTATGTTACAATCTCCTGCCCCCCCCCTTTTTTTTCTTCTTCTTCTCCTGCAAAAGTTTTCCTCCACAGCTGCTGTGAGCTGCTGGCCAAATCAAAGCTGAGAAACTCTTTGAAGCTCCTGAAGCCTTCTCTTCTCTCCAGAAAACAACAAAAAGTCTTGGAATGTCAAAGTCACTGCCAGCCTGGAACAGATCTTGCAAGCCCTGTCTTTTCTCTCATCATCTAGGAATTCAGCTGAATGAAGAAAGTCACCTGCTCCCCACCACATTTATCCTTGCAGTCAAAAAGACAGAAACAAAAGCAAAACTTCCATTTATAAGAGAAGCACCAAGGCCTCTTTAACAGTTCTGGTAAGCAACCTAGGAACTTGCAAGACCATACAATTAGAGTCAGTTCTGTTGCAGATGAGAGGCATGCCGTCATCAGTGTCCATCTTTCTTTGGCTGTAGCACATGTATCTTTATTGTGTTGCAGTTACTGCCCTGTTTTACGTAGCTATGTGCAAATGTTCTGTGTAGGCGCACCCCACTATGGGAGGGCCAGCTTTTTATTCTCAAGAAAATCTTTTAAATTCAGTTGTCCCAATGGCAGCTGGCTTGGAGAAAAGGTTGTGTGAGAGAAATGAAGACAACCAAGACATGCACCCTTCACCCTGGCCAATTGGAATTTGGGACTGGCGATTTTAATTTGCAGCCAGTCGCTGTTATGAGAAGTTTTTCTCCCCCTTGGGAGAAATATAAGCAATATCTATCCTTCCCCATCAGGTCTCAAGGACAAACCAAAACAGTATTCTATCAAAACTACCTCTGAGGAAGCAATGAGTTTATTTTGTCTACATACAGAGGCATGGGTGAAGGTCTCAGGGCAAGACCATGGGTGACCCTAGAACGGCAACCCTGGAAGCTTTGCACCTAGGGTGGACAATGATTTTCTCATAGTCCCAGGACATTGGGCCTCATTCAGTTACCCTGCTCCTGCCTATATATTCTAGCTCATAGATAGATTGCATACATGTGACTGGGGAAAAATGACCAGACACTCAGATGAGTGTCCCAATAACCTTCTCAGCCCACCTTTCTATGACAGAATGTCAACCCTCCACAGGCTAAATCATGATGGACCCTCACATGTAGGCACCACTGAACCCATAAAGATGTGACAAGTTTGCACAGAGTAGTCCATGACAATTGTCATTACAAACAAAAAGAAAAACTGAAGATGTGTACCCGGGAAAGGGATCAGTGACCAGCAGTGTGGGTTGGTAGTTCTGTGGCAGAAGTGACCTCCTATCTGGACATTTTATTCAAAGACAATTGTTTTATTTCTTTTTGGTTTTATGAAGTTCTTAATCTTAGTCCATTTTCTGATTCTCCATCCTTCTGCAGAGCCTACACGCCTAATTATTTTTTCAGTAAACACTTTTCTATTAAAACGAGCCAGAGGCACTTTCAGTTGCCCACAGCTAGTGATGCTGCTTCATATACATGAGCTGAGAATGTTATGATCATTAAAATAGAAAGGAATCATTCTCATTTCAAACCCAGAAATACTCTTGGGGAAATTTCTTCGGTTTTGTTGTTAGTTAAATAAGAATATGAGCATTAACAGAAAATTGTGAATAAAGTTCAAAAAAATTCAACTGCAAGGCACTGCCAAAAAAATTGAAAAGGTTCTGAATTTTGAGAATGAATCTGCTTCTTGGACTTTATCAAAATTAAGTAAATGTTCATTTTTGTAAAATAATGTAGAGGCAATACCACTTTTTTAGCAGGATTGTTGCAATCTACTCACTTGGGTAGTGTGTGTTAGAGGCACTCAGCTATGAGCATCAACATATGAGATGTGGCCACTTTTTGTTTTAGTATCAGGTTGACAGTCCTACCTTCCCATGAGTTAAATCTGGGTCAGACATCTTGCACTATTGTCATGTTGAGGAAAAGAAGCCATAGCTACTCTATCTTTGGAATGTTTCGGCCCCTTTATCAATCACTTAGGTGACCCAGTTACAAAGGATTCCTTTCTGGGACACCTCCACTTTGAGGAACCCCAAAGGGAAGAAAATAAAAGCATCGAAGCAAGCTTTCTGCTGTGTGCCATAGTAAGTGAAAGAAGAGAGTCTGAGGCAGTTGTCTGGTTAGATACAGGTAGTTAAATAAGGAGAGCCCCTGGGAATCCAACCGTTCTTTCTATAGTTTTTCCTTTGTAAAGGATGAAGATAGGGTTGAGTGAACCCAGAAGCTTTTTCCTGTCAGGAGGGAATTAGAACAAAGATTTCCTTTAGAAACAGTGTGCTTAGTACTGTCTGGTGACAGGCAGATCTCAAAAGACTCAGTTGTGATAAAGCCCCAATGCGAAGCTTTGGGGTGGAAGCATCGAGCAACTTCTCTGAACTTTTCTCTACTTGACCCTTTGTTCCCCTGACACCCAATTTCCTGTTTGCTCTGCTCTCTTATTCAAATCCCATCTGGTCCTTGCTTTGGAAGAACTCATATGAAGAAAACATCCAAGTTGTTCCATTTCAGAAAAGATATACTTTTGTATGATGTGAACATCTATTTTTTTTTCACCATAAAATAGCAGTACTGAGTTGAAATACATAAAGAGTCAACAATCTCAGCTATCTGGAGGCTTTCTGATTGATTATAATCTAAATTCACTCTTTTAAGAGAGGGACATTTAATTCATTTATAGAATTGATATAGATTCTAATTCTTTGATGTTTGCTTAAAAGGGCTAGTAAGCCATTAAAAACATCCACTGCTGCCAAAATGGCGAAGATGGACATCTGTACACTTGAAGAGAAGTCTTTTCTCTCCCTCCATGACTTCAGCTTCTCCTAAACTGACCCCATTGCTCCCTGTGGTGGCATCATTGCCCCTGCTGGCCTCCACATTAAGGAAGTTCAGTGGCTTCTCATGTGACTCATGTTAGGGGTGAATTTTTTTCCTTGAGAATAAATTGTTGAACCTTATCTATTCTGCTGACACAGTACTCTATAGAGTATATTATGTTCCCCTGATAGTTTGGATAAAATAGCCAATGCAAAAAACAATCTCTGAAAACAATTTGTGAATATGGTGGACTGATTTGATGAGCCCAGAGGAGTTGCACAGTCCTCCTTTCCACTATGCTGTTCTATTCTGTTCTTTCCATGTTTCCACAGACAATGTCTCCCAAGTGTGTAGTAGGAAAGTGACATTTGAAAAACCTTTTCCCAGCATGTATCCCAAGGATGGCTGTGTGTTGTTCAATCCACATATTTAAGGAGTACTAGCCTCATTATAGTCATACCTCTCTCATGGAATTTGCCAGAACTGGTTCTTCAACTAAACTAAGGCATTGCACCTGGAAAACCTCCTTCTTTGCCCATCTCTGCTCTTTCCTCAGCCTCAGAGAAGGCTTATTCCCACTCTCAATTTCTACTTCTTTGTGGTACATTCCATCTGTGAGCAATCCCATGCGGAATTCGTCTTTTCATGCCTGGCTCATTTCACTTAATACAATGTCCCATAGGGCATCCCATGTTGCCACAAATGAGATTTCATGCCCTACCTGGAAGAACAGTAACCAGAAAACTAATGCATTACAGATAAATAACGTCTTTAGACAAATATCAAGAGGAGCCCAGAAATAATAGATAGAATTTAAGGAGCTTCTTGGATATCTGAGGTACTTTAGCATGATCGACAATACTGTACCTTCCTTTGAGAAATCAAAATACTACCTTCCAGGTGGGTAAATGATGGAACTCAACGTCTAAGTTGGCCAGACTTTAGGCACTGTTCAGTGTCAACAGTTCATGTAAGCTCTTCTGGAGGTGTGGAGCTTCTGTTTCTTCTAGGCCACCCCATTCCCTAATTGTTTCAGATTTATTTGGTGGAACCTGACAGTTTAAGGCTGAGAGAAACTGGTGGTTTATTCTTCAGCCTACACTGTGATTACGTTCCCACAGATAGCCTCTCTTCAGTTTCCCACTTTGGATCAATATTGCATATATTGAAGTTGTTAGGACATTAATAACTATTAGCTGTTTTCTTTGTTAAATGATGAGTAACATTTCTTCGTTAAATGATGAGTAACATTTAAAGACATGCTATTGAGGGTTCTGATAAGAAAGCAAACCCTGAGGCCCCAGATCATGAGCCATTCCACTTTCCTGGATATGAATAGGCTTTAGAAGTTAAGAGGGGGAGAACTACTTCATGGATTGAACAACTTGAAATAGCCTTGTAGCAACATGCTTTATAGGAAAAAATCCTAAATTAAGACGAATGGGATTCTGTCACACCACAAGACAGGAAGATGACAAGCTTGATCCTCTCCAACTTGCCCTCTCTTTCGGGCTGAGAGATGGCTCTTTTGTATCTTTCTACACTGTGATGACGAGTGATCACTAAACAAGTTTATAGCACACTAAAATGTTTTCTATTTAATTTTGAAATCCTATCTCAAGCTATTAATTGCTTGATGATGAAAGCAGTTCAGCCAGTTGTCATTTTCAAATCATAAAATGGTGGGTAGAATGGGCTAGGTGGCTGCTGGCAGATAGCACACACACACACACACACACACACACACACACCCTACTCCAATAATAATATGAGGACTTAATTATTATTAAACATTCAGAAAAGGAAACTGATAAATTTTTTATCTTTCTACTCTTACAAATTATTTTGATGATTTCTTCCATGATGGCTAATAAACTGGAAAATGTCTACAAAACTAAAAAAAAATGGATCAGATGGGGGGAACATGGAGAGATATAATACTGGGAGAGAAAACTGGAATCTGGGGACATCTCTGGGAGGAGCTAGAAACCCAGTGCAATAAAAACTACCAACCATCTATGAGGGTGATCCTAGCCAAGACTCCTAGCAATGGGAGATTCAGAGCCAGAAATGGCCATCTTGAGTAACCAGGCAAGAATTCCCATGAGGAATTGGGACAACAAACAAACCCCCATATCATCCAGCTACAATCCTGCCTACAAGATGAGCTGTTGTGGAGGTGGCACAGGAATAGTGAGAGTTCCCAACCATTGACTTGTCTAGCTTGAGACCCAGAAGTGAGGGAGCTCACTTCTGTCACTGCCTGAATGGTCAGGACCCAGAGGCAGGATGGCCTAGAGACCTAAAATAGAACAACTGGCAAAAACATCAGTGAAATGACTTCCAATAATATTCTGCTATCGTTGGTCTTTTTATGGGATTCCTACTTGTGGGATCAGGACTGTCTCTAACTCTGTTGCCTGTTTTTGGAACACTTTCCTCCCACCAGCCTTAGAAGAAGAGGAGGTAGGTGACTAGTCTCACTGTCACATCATATACCATGGTTGGCTGATATCCAT